GGATTTAGTAAAGGAATATTACAAACCAAGCCTCCTCTAATTCTGAGATGCTATCCATTTTACTCGGCAATTTGAGAACCAGGGGAATCTGTATCGGGATTTTTGACAAGATAAGAAGACTAGCAGAGGAATGCAACTTTCGTTTAACCCTTAATGAGATGCTATAGATCATTTGGCATGTCGTGTTAATGATGTAACTATGCAAAAGCACCTACTTGCTGGAGCTCAACTGGACTTCAAACAGCCACTACAACTGGCTTTATCGTTGGTAAATGCAACAAGTGGAGTATATGAGTTGCAGTGTATTCCAATGGAAGTGGACACCTCACCAGTCTGACTGTTCTTGGGGAACACCATTTGAGTTAAAGTAATTGCATAGCCTCAGTCAGGACATATCCTGAACAGAGGGACTCTTGGTCAGCCCAAAACAAAACCCCAAAACAAAGCCTAGCCTCAGCCAAACAATCAAAATTTTCTTCAGGATCCAGGCTGGCAAGCCATTGTAGTTGTTGCTGGAATGTAGACTCAAGACAGCAAAAGAGTCCGACTCGACTTAAATTGAGTAAATGAACTCATAGGCCGGTATCCAGGAGAGAGCATACCCTGGAAAGTCCATCCACATCTGGTTTGGGAAGTGTTAAATTGCTCAACAACATCCATATCAGAACCAATCTAAATAAACACCTGGTTAAATGGCCACCTGGTTCTAAAGGAGGTTGATACCAGTGCAGCGTTTCAGTGATCACAGAACCAAACGTTAACAAAATTCACTCTGGACTCCAATTCTTAATTTGTGTAAGATCTCGGCTATACTTAGAACCTATGCCGAGGAATGTTTACAGTTTAAGGGTACAACTTCAGCTCTGGACTATTATGAGAAGCAGCTGGTTCAGTTACCACTGGCTGTAGTAAAAGGCTCAGGCCCAAGCTTGATGGGGCGAAATTGACATTGAGAAAGATTCACCTAGATTGGCTCAACATTTTTTGGTTAGAAAATGGTGATGAGTGAAGTCCTAATAAATACCCAGATGGTTTTCAGGAAGATCCAGAGACTATCAAGAGAGGCAAGGCCACCTTGCCTGTTGACCAGGAAACAACTCCACCATTTTGCATAGCCTGCCAAGTGCCATTTGCCTTACGAGCAAAAGTAGAGACAGAAATCAGAATGCTGGAAAGCAAAGAAATCATCAAATCATTCCAGTTTTATCATTCCAGTTTGCAGAATGGGTAGCACCAATCATACCGAATGTGAAGCCCAACAGGTTGGTTTGCCTTTGTGGGGATTTTAAACAAATGGTAAACTTTTTTTCCAGCTGGATAAATACCCAATCCCTCACATAGAGGATTTATACACAAAGCTGGCAGGGGTTCTATCCTTTACGAAGCTGGACATGAGCCATGTCTACTTGCAATTGTGGTTAGATGAGGATTCCCAGAAGTATGCTACAATTAATAGAACATAAGGGTTTGTACCAAAATACAATACTGCCATTTGGGGTATCATCAGCGTATGCAATTTTTCAGCGGATAATGGAGAACATTTTACAAGGTCTACCCCAGGTCACCATTTATATAGATGATGTGCTAGTAATAAGGACAACCAATAAGGAGCACTTAGAACTTCGACATAAACAGATGTTTCTCCCAGGTGGGCGTATGCCTTAGACGGGAATGATGAGTATCCCAGGCACCCCAAGTGACCTACTTGGGCTACAGAGTTGACAAGACTGGTTTACACCCGTTAGAAGATAAAGTGAGTGTAATCAAAGGTCCCCCGGCTCCGACGTCTGTACTAGACTTTAGGTCTTTCTCTGGGTCAGTGAACTATTACGGAAAGTTCTTACATAAGCTGGCCTCCAGCTGGCACCTTTGCATCACTCTTAAAAAAGGGTCAGCCTTGGAAATGGTCACGTAGCCAAGCCATAGCTTTCAGAGCAGTGAGGAAACAGCTATCATCTTCTAAGGTGTTGGCAAACTATGATCCTCAGCAAGATCTGGTTTTGCCATGTGATGCCTCCCCGTATAGCATCATGGTAATATTAGTTCGTAAAAAGCCCAATGGAGACGAATGCCCAATAATCTATGCATCCAGGAGATCAGCTAGTGCAGAGCGTAAATATGCATAGATAGAGAAGAAAGGCTTGGTGGTCATATTTAGAGTTAGAAAGTTCCACCAATACTTTTACAAGACTCCAAGTAGCATCTGCAGATGCATTGAGCTGCCTCCTGCTGATGGATACACCACCGCCACTGGAAGAGTCCATAATGGTTTTAAATTTCAGTCACAGCTGGCAATATTGGACTTCGCACATAGAAAAATCCGGTCCTAGCTAACTGAAACAGCTGGTGGCGATGGGGGAAACCAAAGTCACAACCAAAACTGAAACCTTTTTGGACCCGGAGAGACCAGATCACCATTAAGGATGTCGTATTATTATGGGGAGCTAGAGTGATTGTCCCAAGCACAGGTTGCCGAGAAAACTGGCTGAATTCCACCAGGGTCATCTAGCTGTTTCCAAAATGAAGCTGTCGGTGAGAAGTTATGCCTGATGGTCAGGATTGGACGCAGACACAGCCACATTGGTGGGCCTGTACTGAGAATGTCAACAAGCACAAAGATTACCATCAGCAGTGCCCCCACATTCATGGAAAGACCAGATAAAACCTGGACTCAGTTACATGTCCACTATGCAGTTCCTTTCAGGGCTCAATACTTTTAATCATTATGGATGTCCATTCAAAGTGGTTGGATGCGCATAGTGTTCATTCATCAAACATGGGGAGGACGATAGAAAAACTGTGCGCATCTTTTGCAATACACAGACTCCTGAAAGTGTTGACCATAGATAATGGACCATCGTTTACTAGCAGGGAATTTGAGTATTTCCTAAAGTTGAATGGCATTCGACATATAAGAACAGCTCCATACCATCCATCATCCAATGATTTGGCAGAAAGAGCATTCCAAACTTTGAAAGCAGGCGGTCTAGGCCCGAAACGTCAGCCTCTCTGCTCCTATGATGCTGCTTGGCCTGCTGTGTTCATCCAGCCCTGCACCTTGTTGTCTCGGATTCTCCAGCATCTGCAGTTCCTACTATCTCTTAAAGAAACAGCTGACAGCTTCACTAGGTACCAAACTGTCCAGTTTCCTATTTGATTAAGAACCATCCCTCATGCAACTACAGGGATAGCCCCAGCAGAGTTGCTAACAGACAGAAGACTCCGCACCAGGTTAAATCTGATCTTCCTGGATCTGGGGAAAGGGTGAAATGGCATCAGGAATGCCAAACCAGACACAAGGCTCCGCTAATCGAGAGAAACAATTTACTTCAGGGGACAAAGTTTGGCGTAGGGACCACAGGAATGGCGCAGCATGGGTAAGTGACACGGTCGATGTGAGGACAGGCCCAGTGACGTATAAAGTTCGGGTAGGTGCGATGGTCCTGAACAAGCATGTAGACCATATGAAAGCTGCAAAATTGCAATCAGGAGGCAGGCACAAAACATGCCCGGCTCCTCGGAACAGTCGGAAAGACTGGCACAACCTGTGGGTTCTCCATCCCTGTCCAGCTTTGAGGAGACCTTGGAATCTGAAATCGTCACTGCCTTAATGCTTTTGCCACTGAAGAAGAGAATGAACTTCTTCCAAGATACTCTGGGTGCAAGAGGTAAGCTACTGTGCTTTACTTGCCTCCTGCATCCGAGGCAGAGTCAGAAGAACCTGACCTGATGCTAAAACACCCCTGCATGCGCTACAGCAAAAGGAATCACCCTATGTCTTCAGACTCAGAGGGGGAGGGATATAATGACTGTACTGAAGTCAGCAAGGTGGGCCTAATTGAATATGAGTCCCTGATTAATGTTGTTAATGTGGTCCAATCATGGAATCGCAGCTGATATAAAAACTGGAATGACAGACATCCTGTCACTCTGGGAGATGGCTCTGAGGAAGCTGCATCAGTGTCAAGGACTTTCCACATGTGAATAAAGGGTGACTTGATGACAAGATACCAGCCTCTGTGGAGTTATTTCACTTCGCATTTTTGAAAGTATAGGAAGTGTCAGTGCTCAATGAATTATATCACAGGCTGTTTGGATAAGCAAGGCAGGAAATAATAGGAGCTCTGGCCATAATACTGAAGTAAATTGTTTCTCTCGATTAGCGGAGTCTTGTGTCTGGTTTGGCATTCCTGATGCCATTTCACCCTTTCCCTCAGATCTGGGAAGATCAGATTTAACCTGGTGCGGAGTCTTCTATCCGTTAGCAACTCTGCTGGGGCTATCCCTGTAGCTGCATGAGGGATGGTTCTTAATCAAATAGGAAACTGGACAGTTTGGTACCTAGTGAAGGCGTTTCTTTAATACTCCAGCTACAGGTGCGGAGCTGAAAATCAGGAAGACTTCTGACATTCTCTCATTGTTTAGAACTGGAGAAAGGGATATATTAACTTTAGAAACAAATTAACCTAACCATGATGTTGGCTAAATAATTGGGAAAAGAAAGTGACAATATTAATCAGCGTTTGAAAAGACATAAATTAATCAAGGACGATTTGCATGGATTTTAAACAGAAGGTGATAGCTCTAATTGCTACAAAGTAATTACTAAGACCTTGAAAATTTGCTTTTAAAAACATGGAGTTTCATTTGCTCATGTTTTAATTATTGCTTCACATTTTAAGAACTCATGCTTTATTTTACTTTTGCTACCTCTCACTTAACCCATCTTTCTTATCCTGTTTATTTTGGTTTCTGTACATGATTGTACACAAGTCATTCTGTTGCAGTCAGTTTTTGCTCATTCTGGTCAACTACAGAAGTAAAACCACATTTGCAGAATGGTGCAGTGTTTATTCCTGGTTCAAACAAAAATGATGCAGGATATTTTGATTGTTCACTTTAATTTCAGACCTCTGGAAATTTTGCATCAATTGTAGACTCACCCTTCATAAGCAACATAGATAAATAATTTAAAGGGGAACAGAGCATTGATTACTCACCTCAATCTTCCCAAGGCAGTCAGGAAAATTCGGATCTTTGGGAATCTCACATTGGCTGCTGTCCTTTCCTCTGGCTGTGTGGTGTCAACAGTTTAAAGAAAATACAAAATAAAAAGTAGATTAGAATTTTCAGTTATATTGCAATTCAGCTTGCAGAATACAATTGTTAATTCCACTCTTTAGATTGAGTTGGAAGTTACAAACAATTAAGTGTAATTATTTTCAAAGGTGGTTCTATGTTAGAAAGATTTGTTGCTTTCCTTAACTCACTTTCAGATCTATCATGCATTTCTTTCACATGTTCACCAGGTTTATCCCATGTCTCTTATGTCATCTCATTATCACTTCCCCAGTTCCCCAATTTTCCTTTATGCATTTCAACCTTTATGATGTCAGTACAATGATCCTTTGTGTAGATTGCTTCTAATGTAACTCTGTGTAAACCTGCACTAATGAAGAAGGCAAGTGACAGGGCTGTGAGTTCATTAAGAGGCTGTCCCAGGTAAGTTTTTGTTCAATTTTCATGGTGACTACAGATTTTAGCAGTAATTGGCCTTTACACTAGCTACATGTAGGTGTGAATTATGGAGTAGAAACATTAAGAATTTAAAAGTAAAATTGTTTCCCTCCCTCACAGTTTATCATTCAATGCTGTAGCATGAATTGTATTTGTATTCCATCAGGTGAGTTATGACAGTGCTATTGTTAGATGCTGTAGCTACTCCTTAAAATGACATGTTTGTCTGATTATTACTTATGCCAAATGGAAAACTGTCAATTAAAAAATGCCTTATAAATGTGGAATACTCTTCAGATGAATTGAAATGGATAAACAATACAGTCTATTATTGAGACGATAGCTAGAATGATGTTCAAGTGTAAATATTTGCACTTTTCCCATTGCTTTTATGCATTTGGTCTAGATATCTATTGAGATAACAATTCTGAAGATCATTTCATTACTCAGATTTTTATAGACTCTTGACAGTAATCCTTTTGCTTCATCATGTTACTGAATTAACTCCACAGAGGCTGGTATCCCGAAACCAAGTCAGCCTTTATTCACATGTGGAAAATCCTTGACACTCATCCCTTATAGCCAACTCTCAGAGTGACAGCATGTCTGACACTCCAGTTTTTATCTGTCAGCTAGGGTTCCATGATTGGACCAGATTGACAGTCCCAATCAGGGAACTCATATTCTTTGAGGTCCACCAGGCTGGCCTCGTTACAATCACTGCAGCTATAATTTCTTAACATTGTTTACACCACTCGTTTGAACAGTCTATTTACTCAAGTGCTTTTATCGTATATTAGGCTGCTAAAATTGAGCTGTAAGTTCTGTTCATAAAGTGGATGAGAGAGGTGAGGGGTGAGGGGTGAGTTGGGTGATGTGGATAAGGGAGTGAGAGGGAAGGAGGTGAGTGTGAAGGGATGACAGTGAGTGGGGTAAGGGTGTGTATGTGTGTCTATGCGGGTGGGGGGCGTTATGGTGTGACAGTGAAGGTTTGAGAGTAAGAGGGGAGGGTGAGGGAATAACAGTGAGGGGTTGGGTTAAGTGTTTGAGATGTTAACAATGAAGGATGAGGGTTTCAGTATAAGGGGGTTTAAAATGATCAGAATGTTCAACTGTACCTAGGTGAGTGACTGATCACTTTGGAAGCAATAGATCAAGGCTTTTGGGGAATGGGAAGTGAGTTTTTTTGAGGTGTCTTATCTGGGCCCAGCTTCCCCTCCCACCCCCAGCCACTAGGCTCCTAGACTCCTGAACGATCCTGGCTGCTAGCAGTCTTGAGGCAGAGGGAGCATCATAATGATGAGATTAGTTCTGTCTCCAATTCCCAATCCAATAATAAAATATGGCCCAGCATCTTTGTTTCACTCGCCACCGATGCTGCCCATCCGCCTGGCTGATTACCAGCATTTTCTGTTGACATTTTAGATTTCTAGCATTTGTCTTAGCAAGAAATTAATTTTTAAAAATCAGTAATCATCCCATTAACGATATTTTTTTTCAAAAAAGGCGCTTTCCAATTATCAAACTAACGAAGGAAAAGTTATAAATGTTGTTTCTGCTTTGAGCACTATTAGCAATGCTGGCCCATTCTTGCTCCTGATATCATGTTACCTCAGTTATCATGCGTCAATGATTTAGTAAGAAGTTGGACTCTGCATAGCTTGGAGCTTCTTGTAATGTATCCTTACCATCACGTACAGTGAACAACAATGAACAGTTACTAAGATGTTTGGCCTGAGCTTGGGTCAAGACACAAAAACACAATCAAGTGTGCTGAACATTCCTGATGAAAAGCATTTCTTCCTCTAGGTTTCCACCAAACCATATCTATATATCACTGTAACAAAAGATTTGTCACATCCTATTACAATCAAACAACATATAGAATCCCTACAGTGTGAAAGGAGACCATTCAGCCCATCAAGTCAACACCAACCCAATCCCTGCATTTCCCATATAACCTGCACAATATGGGTATTTAACATAGCTAATCCATTTTACCTCCACATCTTTGAACTATGAGAGGAAACCTGAGCACCCGGAGGAAACCCACACAAACTCCACACAGGCTGTCACCTGAGGATGGAATCGAACCCAGGTCCCTAGCGCTGTGAGGTAGTATTGCTAACCACTGAGCCATTGTTCTGCTTCTTCAAACATAAGCTTAGAATTTGCTATCACAAAAAATAAGCATTTTAAGTGATTTGCAAAATAATCAAATAGGATCTTGCAAAAAACCTTTTGATCATACAGTGATTTGTTTAAGTTTTGAATGCATTAAGTGGTGGCATAGGCAGGTTCAGATCAGATAGTCAAGACAGCATTAGATGATTATTTGAATAGAAACAATGTGCAAATGTTTCAGGCACTAAGTCAATTTTCATTTGGAGAGCTTGTGTAGACATGATGGGCCAAATGGTCTTCTAGGCTGTCACAATTTTGTAATTCTGTGGCACTAGAGCATTATCTGTGAATTACGAAGATATTCCCAGTTAGATTGGAATTCATTAGTGAGTGCCTTAAGTTAAAGCAAAAGCTTTTCAAAATAGTGTCAAAATAATATTTTCAAAATACGGTTGCAGCAGTATACCTATTTTTCTAATCAATCTGTTCAGAGATGTTATTACACACCTCTGGAGCAGGTAGGTCTTGAACCCAGGCCTCTCTATCCAGGGGTAGGGATACTGCCACTGCGCCGCAAGTGTGCAGCAGTATATAGACATACATATTTTATTTATAGTTGTTGTATTCATAATATGACACAGATAAAAAAGATACGTTTGCTGTACAAATTTAGCAATTTGCAAACTGAGTATTCTGTTCTAGGGTATTTCTTTCCCTCTGAGAGAAGAACAAACAGACAATTTCATATTCCTAACTTAAAGCACTCCTTACAGCTTTGTATTTTTTTTAGAAATGGTCCATTATTTGTCATTGTTCAAGAATTATTTGTTGTCAGTCAATGTTAAAATATAAATCATATATTCAATTTACTACCAGACAAGTTAATAGTTTAACGAACTCTAGCAACAAACATCTTGCACAATAAATGGTGTATAAATGGTGTAATGTATGCTTTAAATACTTTGAAAACTGACGTGTAAATGCCATTATGGATGCAAACAACCCAAGAACGATTGCCAGTTCTGCAGGCTATTATCACCCAGTAATCTACTTCGGTAAACAAACGTGCAACTATTAAATCACATCAAAATTGTTAATTCCACTCATTGCAGATGTTACTTCAATTAGCTATCTGCATTCTCAAGGCCATCAAAAGGTGAATTATATTGCTGGCAAAGTTAGGGATCAAGAAAGGGCCGAAAATTTGACAACCAATTGTCATAATCAGTCTTTCAGGAGCACTTCCAGGCAGTAATTCTTATTGAGTTTAATTTGGGATCTGTTGCAAATATCAATTGTCTTAAAAATTCACTGATATTTAATGTTTCTTACCCATTACCATGACTCACATAAGCCCCACAACCTTCTGAGATATCACTACTTTTCCAATTTTGACCATGTGAACATGCCCAATTTTAATTGTCTCAACTTGGAGGCTGTACTTTCAGTTGCCAAGGTTATCAAGTTGGCAATTCCCTCCCTAAGACTTTCTACTTCTCTTTCATTCTTTAAAAATGCTCCTTCAACCCTATCTTTTTGACCAAGCTTTTGGTCACCTCTTCTAACAGCTCATGTGGTGTGGTATTAGTTTTCTTTTATAATGTACCTGTAACATGCCTTGAGATGTTTACCCCATTAAAGTTGTTGTTGAACATTGACCACAGCAAAGGCTTATTTTCTCAAACAGAGCAGCTTCACGATGAGCAGCACATTTCAGTATGTATTTATGATGCTCAGTGCCCGCAATGTGGGGAAATTCCAGCATCCTTCCTTTTCGCTCATCAGCCTCCAGAAGCTAATTGCGGTCACGTCCTCAACAGTGCACTAATGGAAAGATCAAAGTGCTTGCATTGCAAAACTAATTAATGTCGTTGATGTCACAGGAAGCAGTTCGGCAGGATCAGAGGTATAAATGTTTACATTCACAGCAAACTTCATTGCCACAACAAGTGCAAGACCTGGTGTTGGGTTACAGCTCTTCCTCCAACTCTGAAATTCAGCCTCTGATTCAGGAGGCACACAGACTTTAATGCCTGTTGAGCCCTTGTCTTTCTTTGACTGTTATTTATAGCCTGTGCAGGTATCTGTTACCTTCTTTGCTGCTGCTCCTAATTTTGGAGAGTCAACAGTAATCTATTTCCCAGCAATTGCAAACAAATTTATCCTGAAAAATACTGTTCCTGCCCTCCATAAACTCAATCTGTAGAACATTTCACAGCCAAAACAGCCATAAACATGGACCTTTCAGTAACTAATGGCAAAAATGACTGACCAGAGGCTTATGGTGATGGAAGTGAGGATTCATTTAAATACCATGTGAGAAAGCTGTTTGGCATTTGTTCCTATTATGATATGTTCAGCAGGTTAAAAAACAATACATCAGGTGTGCAGAAATGTCAAATTCACAAAAGGATCCTATTTCATGCAAATGAC